TACGGGATAATTTTCAAATGTCGTTCTACAATCATAATTTGTATTTGCCTTAAATAAATTGCTGTGTCTTCCTGAAGTTTGTCTTTCCTAATTTTCCACGTGAAAATATGAATGTTTTAACGTTCTTGTAGAATAATCTCACAAGAAAGTAAATCTCTAAATGGATATTACTTTTATTTGTGTGTAGTTTTATTAGTTATCTGTATATATATCTCGCACACATAAAATTGATTGAAAAAATAGGACAAACATCCATTCTATCTATATACCCATTTGTAGCTGGAAGCAATAATATCTCTTATTTATTTTTATATATTTGGATTTATCTTTTTCATAGTAACTCACTGACGACAAAATATAAAAGTAATTTTTTATGTCTATCTCATTAAATAGATTTACCAACCCAATAAAATGTGTTCTAGCCACAAAGGTATCGAAATATTTCTCAACAATAAACTGGAACCAATATTCAATCTTGTTTTTCTCTTCTTTGATATTTCCCGCTGTTACATTCTTTTTGCCATTTCCACTTTGGAAATGTGGCTTCCTTTCTTTCTTTTGTTCTTTTGTAAATTTTCCTCCTTTTTTTTTCTCTTTGTTTCTATCATCTATACAAGTATTTAACCCAACCAAGATTGTGAATTTGATCAATGAATATAGTCTCTCCATGACTTTGTAAAATTATACAATGGGATAATAATTTAAAAGAGTATTTACATAGATTTATAAACTTTAATTTTATGTATATTTCAAATATTTATGTTATAGTTTTCAAAAGACCAATTGTTTGTTTTAACTATTTTATAGCATGTTAAAATAATTCAGTGACTTTTCGAAGATCCCTAGTACATGTGGTACAACAACTATGTTAATCATGGGGGGTACTGCTACATTTCTTTTACAATTTCTACTTTGGAAATGTGGCTTCCTTTCTTCAGTAAAATTTCCCCCTTTTTCTCTCTTTATTTCTATCATCTAAATAAGTATATAGATTTTTAAACTTTATTAATGGTATATATTTAAAAATCATTTTAAAGTTTTCCCCATTGTTTATTTCGACTTTCTTTTCATAGCTACGTTAGAATAATTCAACGAATTTTTAAAGAACCCCAGTACATGTGGTACAGACTATTATAATCATGGTGGGTAGAAGTTGGCGACTGTTTTTATTGTGCTACACAATGACTCTACATGCGGCATTGGCACAACTCTTTTGTATTTAAAAAAAAGTGTCTAGTGTGGGATTCGAGCCCGGGTCGTGGCTATTGAAAGCCAACAGTTTATATCATTAAAACTAAATAATGAACAAGAAAACATAATGGGAGTCTCCATGATAGCTGGGCAGTCATTTTAATGGTGAAACCTTTTATATATGTATCAAAAGAGGCACCTCTCCCTTTCATTATACACATATGTACATCAGAACGATGCACTTGTTCATCCTCCTAGTGAAAAACCTTACTACTACAGGTTGGCCTTTTGTCTGAATTCTACAAATCTGGCGTTATTCTTTATCATCAATAGTGAAGTTATTCACTGGGATGATAAACAGTGTGTTCTGATACATAATTAAAGGGAGAGATGCCTCATTTGATACATGAATATCATCCTCCCGTAACTTATAAAAATGACACATATCTAATTTTAGTGTAGTTTTAATATATAAATGGGTTTTTGTGAGAGAAGGGTTAATTTAACAAAGTCTATCATTAATTTTTTCGGCTAAATAATTTCTTGGGACATTGGTTGATTGATGGGGTAGCATAAACCCAATTATAATTTGTGACCAAATTATCTTTTGTTTTACTTATTATAATGAGAATAAGACCGCTTCTCCCTTGGGATCAGTATCTTTGTTTGAAAGGTGTTAGCTGATATTCCAGGGTTCCAATCTTTCTGAGGAAAATCTCTAAAATGGTTATTCCGATTTGATTGGAGAGATATTCTAATCCTTATAATTTGGTGTACATACTATCTCTATCTATTATTTTGATAAGGGGGTCGATAAAAGGATGGTCTAAACCGTTGGTTTTCGACCGGTACGACCCAGGATCGATTCCCGCATTGGGTACTTTTTTCTAATTAAAATAAAAATGCTCCAATGGCCCCCGATTCTTACAAAAGTCTAACCTACCAGTGGGTTCAAGTAAACAACCGTGGCTCTGGCACATTTGTAAGTGCAAAAGTCGAACTGCTTTCACATTTGTAGACACGTGGTGCACTTACAGTAAAAACAGTCTCTAACTTTTACCCACCATGATTATAATGGTCGGTATTACGTATGCTAGGAATAAAAAATATATCTTTTTAAGGAAAATCTTCAAATTTCTGATTTTACTTGTGAGAAATTCAAATCCTTATAATTTGTGGATATAGATTAAGAAAGAAGAAGATAATTTGATGTAAATTATCTCTCTATCCATTATTTCGATATGTTTATATTTTCCGAATCAAGATATTCGTTTTTCTCTATATTTCCTAAATATAACGCTGTCCATATTTTCAGTTCGTTTTTGACCATGATCATAGAATAACATAAAGAAGTTCACCATATTTTTACCTTATGCAAGAAAACTTTGGGAAACATTCAGGAATAGATTCTAAAATGAATATATAAATAGATAGCAAATAAATTTTGTAGGTAGGAAATCAACCTATAGAGAGATAGGACACTTCGTTCGTCTATGTGTCATCCATTTTGTGCCTACACATATTGACAAAACTTAAGGAAATTGTATCTTTTAACCTATATGTCGGTATTCAGACAATAACTATGAAAGATATTTTGTACACAGTGACCTTTATTGAAGACACACGTGAACAAAATTGTCTTTGTCTCCTTAAAATAAATAGTTGACAGGCGACATCAAAGACGTTTCTATCTCTTAAGTATTGTCCATGAGTGTATTTTGATCTGAGAGGTGCCCTTTATTTTTTATAGATCAAAATTTCAATCCATATTTTGACTTCCCTAAAATTCGCTTAGCCATTTTCCCAGCTAAACACCTCTTTGGTGGATCCTAAAGAATGGATCTAGTGGAATAATGAGGCTCATAGCCTGAAACCATGATCTCCAGTTGGGCGTTCTTGATATGCTGAAGCTTGTGTTATGGTTTTACCATCAACCATAGTCTGTTAGATTGCGGTTACGGCCAATAGTTGGCGCACATATTTTACATCTATTCTGACAGGAGAGATGCTCTTCCTTTTTTAGATTAAGAAATAATAAAATTATTATATATAGTAACAATTATTCCGCCTTCTACATGCTATCTGATAAGCATTTTAAGGCTCAATTATTATATATATATGTCTTCATATATATACAAGAAAATTTCATTAATACACACTAAAATAGTATTTTATCTTTATATTATCAAACCTATATGGTTTTCCAAAAACTGTTGAAATTATAGATAAAAATACCTCTAATATTTAAGAATCATTGTAAAATGATATTTTTATAAGTTTTCATAACTTAATATATTATATTATGATGAATTGGCACGCCATCTGTTATGAAAATTTGAAACAATTATAGACGTGTATGACTCTTTTAAAATTAAACAAATTCTTCTTCCTTTACCATGGTAGATTAAACTGGCGAAACCGCTGGGAGGGTTCTCCACTGATGATCCAGGCCCTCCCATTAATTTTTCCATTTCAGTAAGGGCAGTATAAATTGCTTAATTTTCAAAAGAATCATACGCGTCTATAATAGTTTAGAATTTTCGAAAAAAGTAGCATATCTTTCGTGAAATAACTGAATAAAATTAATACCTTTTACAAAATTCAATATAAAATACACAAAGTAAAAACTTTACAAATTGAGATAAATTAAATATTTGAATGTTTTCCTATCAAATTTAAGGCCACTATACACAGACCAATTCCAGAGAGAGTTGGCTTCTAAAACGCTGCCTTCAAAAGTCCAAGTCTTGAAGGTCCGTTGGGACTCAATCAGGCGGTTTAACAAACATTCTTTTAGAAATGGGGGAGACAATTCTGGCCCTGAATATATCGATCCAAATCTTTATTATTTCCCAGAACTTGTTTGTCTAAATTCCCGGTTGATACTTTTTACTTGCCGATTTTTACCTATTTGAATTGGATTCTATTTTATGTATTACTTTTGTCAATGTGGATGTTACATATTTGTCTTTCAGAAATAATTTATATATAAACTTCCAGAATATTTGTATAAATTATATTTTTATATAACAAATTAACGATGCTTTTTTCCTTTTTAGGATTTTAATGTATTGAAGGAGTCTATTAATAGTCGCATTCTACCTAATATATACAATATAATTATCATTTTGTGTGTGAAAATTCTATAATTTATATATATAGTAGAACCTCCATTTAACCGACAACTCGCTAGAGGACACTTCTCTATAAAGGACAGTTTTCATTTGCAAAATTACCATTATTACAATTTAGCAAATCTCTGGTAAGAGGACACTTCTCCCCAAAGGACACTTTGGCTCTGCAATTAGGTGTCCTTTACAAGGAGGTTTTACTGTATATTAAAATTTCTAAAGATGATATGACTATTTTTAAAATTAGTTGGAAAATGAAGAATTTTGTCTTTTTTTAACTATAAAAATAATTTTGATTATTTAACACTTTCCAATGGAAAAATATTCTTCATTATAGTTGGTGAAATATTTGACCGATATTTTATAAGCTAAAAATAATGGAATCACCTTATGCATAATTAAGAAATAAAAAAAAACGAATGTGTTTCTTTCACACAAAAAACAAACTTCTTCTATCCTTACTGCATTGAAAAAATATTGGGAGGGCTTGTGGCTAATCAGTGGTGAACCCTCCCAGCAGTTTCGTCAATTTAATCTACCAGACCGCTTCTTAGAGCTCTAATACTGTATTGGAAGATTCTGCTTAAATGCTGCACTGAAGGGTGGAATCTTAGAAATGCTATTCAAGCAAACTATGGATATAAGCTTTTTGGACAGTAGAATTCATTTTTCTTCGCAGTATGGACAGTAGCCTAGTGGACATGGCATCTGCCTGGTAAGCGGAACACAGTGGGTTCAATTCCCATCCCTGGACACTTTTATTTTTCCGTTTATCATTACTCTTCACAATTCATCCTTTCATACCACATCCCTAAGTTTATAAATAATTGTTATTTCTCCTTTAAAAAAAATGATTTTAGGTTGAAAAGAAACACATGCGGGATAATTTTCAAATGTCGTTTTAGAAATTTGTTTATCAAACCCTATCGAGTTATATTACTGTAAATGATTCAATAACCTTCATATACACCCTAGAAACAACATCCATCCAAAAGCTTAGTAATAAATGACGCATCGACATATGGAATTGGGTCAATGATTCAGCACCATCTGAGTAAGGTATACAACAAGGTAGTTGCTTAAACATTCAGTTCACCCACATCTGAAAAACCTTCAAGTTGTTTTTAGTCATACTTGATACACAGCTTTGTGTTTTAGGAAATCATGTAGGTATTGTATATATAAATTTCTAATAAGATAGCGCGCCATCTGTTACGAGAATTAGAAACTATTATAGATGCGTATGATTCTTTTAAAAATTAAACAATTATCTACTGCCCTTACTGTTCACACTGCGATAATATATATATATATATATATATATAATATATATTATAAATGAAAATATTTTCTGTTGATTTTGGAATATTTTGAAATATACAGAATTATTAGCTGTTGCTTGATTTTGGTATCCCTGAGTATTTTACGATATTGTTTTGCAGTCGTGGGAATAATAAAATAGTTTTGATCAGATATTGCTTTAATTGAGCTAAAGGAATATATAAAAACATAATTTGATAAAAGTACTGCCTGGCTTAAGGCGTAAGAATAAAAAAATAAACTTATTTACATAATGTACAAAAAAAGTTTGAGCCGACCATCGGGAAACAATAACGAGGTTTTTTTTATAGGGGAAGCGTAACTCTGGCGGTCGATTTAACAGAGTATTTGAATCAATGAAATAAAATTTTAAATAAAATAATATTTTGATATAACATATATATATATAATGTCCTAAAAGCGTATGCCCATAATTTGCTTGAATAGCATTTCTATGATTCCACCCTTCAGTGTATTCTATATACAGTTACGAGCGTCATTCTTCATCAGTCATCTCTGTCACCGTTTGCTTTTTTTTTTTTTGGAATGGCGCCCTCCTATTGGTCGGCTACGATCACGCCACCTTTGCACCCCCCTCCCACTCGCTTTTTCGTTTTTGTAACCATTGTGTTGGAGCGGGTCGCTCCTTAAATAAATGCATATATTAGTTAATAACCAAATGGAATCCTCTCTTTCTATTTCCCAGTAAGAGACGCCTACGGAAGCCAACAGTACATAGACAGATAAAGCACATAGGCTATAGTCATTAACTAACATATGCATTTATATAAGGCGCCAATTTATAATTGTAACAAATAGTATTTGAATCAAAACATTCAATCGGGTAAAACACGGGCGTTGCCCGGGTCATTCGGCTAGTGATATATAAGCCGAATCGTCCAATACAGTATTAGAGCTCTAAGAAATGGTCTGGTAGAATAATTGTTTAATTTTTAAAAGAATCATACGCATCTATAACACGATTAGTTTCGAATTCTCATATGAATATCTCTTCCCACCTATCATGGAATATTGATAAATGATGTTTAATTCTATCCTTTATTGACATATATAGGTGAAGTATTTGAGGTGAATGAGTTTAACGAGGAATTTGTAAATAACTGTGTAATGTAACCGAGGCTAATAAAATACCTACATAAATATATTTGCATAACTACACAGGTGCTGTAAACCTATAGTTCTACGCTCTTTTATACGCTATACCAGGGGTCACAAACCTTTGAGTCGGAAGGGTCAAAAATTACAATTTACAAAATTTCTAAGTTTTTAAAGAGCCACAACATTTTTTCTTGCCAACAATAAATAGTACTCGCATAAATAATATTTACGTATGGAATTATATACGCAGCTTCACATCCAAAGAGCCGCATGTGACTCGCGAGGCTCAGTTTGCCGACTTCTGCGGTAATTTAAGTTGCACGATCAGAAGATGCCTTTCAGGTAATTCATATATATATATTAGTAAATCAAATTTATAAATTTAATTGCTATCTATCGATAAAATTTGTAACAAATACATTAACTGGCAATGTGTTTTCTAAAATAATATCATCAACTATTATCTCTACAGACCTTACAGGAATGATATAAGTTATTGAATGAGAGAGAGAGAGCTTGGCTCATCAGTAGTGAATGTATAGTGATATATATATATTAGGGAATAGATCAAATCAGTTGATTTCTGTTCCACTGAACACGCTCATGTTATTGGTCAAGTTAGGCCCAATTTGTTTTTAATATATTTTTTATATATCAAAACAACTCCAATTTCACCTCTCTATCAGGATTTCCTTTTTTAAGAGTAAATTTGACAAACTAAGCAGTTTTATCGAATTCTTATCTTCCTGTTCTGAAAGTGTCACCCTGGGGAATCGCTAGAAAGAATTAGAAGATGGTGTCATTAAGACCACTAAACGAAAATGTCAAAGTTAAGTAGTTAGCGGCAATCTTGGAGACAAAACACCAGTAAGCTTCGGTCTCAAACAAGGAAGGATTCACCAACCAAATCAACTCTTCCTACAATTTCTCTCTTGTTATTTCCAGAAGTCTTTGAGCTCTCTCAATGCCCTTTCATCTCCTTCCTTCTCTCCAATTAGACAAACTACCAAAACTTTCTGTAGAATATAATTAGAAAATGTTTGAATTCTACTGTAATTGAGTAATTTATTTAATCCCTTTAAGTATTTTTGTTTACAGATATTTTAAAGCTTGTTAAATATTTTGCGTCTCTCTACTCATCCTCTTTCTTTTAAAGAATTCATTGTGTTAATAGGAAAGTTTTCTTTATTGATTCAATTGACAAGTAAGATATAAGCGCTTTTGAATTTTGAGATCCTTCAAAAAATAAAAGCTTTTTCTTATTGTGTATCGATATGTAATAAACAATTTATTTTTTTCACCATTTGAATAGATTGAATCTGACTGTGTATATATATGTGTGAGCATTTATATATATTGAAATAAAGATTATATAAAGTAATTTTATATTTTGATTTTTCTTGAAAATAAAGATACTTCGGCCAGTAAATCTTTTTATTACCTCGACTTTTCGACAAAAATATTTTGTCCTCGTCAGGAGCAAACAAAAATTAAAACATCTAGCAAGGCGTTAAAATCATTCATCCTTGCTAAATGTTTTAATTTTTGTTTGCTCCTGACGAGGACAAAAGATTTTTGTCGAAACGTCGAGGTAATAAAAAGATTTACTGGCCGAAGTATCTTTATTTTCAAGAAATATGAATGCCGGCCAGGCAGCCTTTATCTTTATATTTTGAGAATATAGGTTACTTCTCTCTATTTTGATTGGTTATTGTAACATGCTTTGTATTTATTTATGTAAGATATTTAATTATTCTTTGATTTTTCTTCATAGTTAGGTAGTCGGGAACACTTTACTCTTTTTCTTTCAATCTCTAATTTGCGTAAATTATTTTTTTGTTTATACACCTATCCCCCGATTTAAACGGTACTTGTTTTACACGTTTTCGCTTTTTACACGGTTTTCCAAATAAGTTTTTTTTTATCGCACTATACTAAATGCTAATGTGATTGAACACATTCGCTGTGTACACATCTCACGAGGAATCCCGAGCTTATGTGCTGACTACATATTTTAACCTGTCAATGCATTTTATTTTTATTTCTGTGTACACCAATCCCCCGATTTACACGTTTTTCTCAGGAACCTATCTACCTTGTAAATCGGGGGATAGGTGTATATTATGGTTAACCTTGTTGTAATTTAATTAAATATTAAAACACAAAGTATTGTGGCTATCTCTTATTTCTAAATAGGAAACGTTATAGTTATATAACTTAAATGCTTGATAGAGATATAGAAAAATGAGTGAAATAGAGAATTTTTGACCTCTCTTTTTAAATATTTTTCTATCTTGGAAGATCAGGGAATTTTTCTCCAGAATTTTAAATATTAATTCTACAAAATTAAAAAAATAATTTGATTAGCAAATTAATTTGACAGATTTTAATTAAATGTCTGAGGTATATTCTTCACAGCTGCCTTCTGTGAGTATAATTTATTTCTCAAGAAAATGTATAAATTAAGGGCACTATAACCTTCATCGTAAAGATAAAGGCTGCCTGGCCGAAATAAATATAACTTTCATATTTATTAGTAATCGATAAGTTTTAGAATAAAAGTTAATTTTATTGTGACAATCTTATTTGCAGAAGCTTTCAAAAATGTATAAAAACTATATTACATATAATATAAGGTCTTAATATAGCCTCAATATGAAACAATAACAGACACACACAAAAAAACCTTTATTAAGACACAGAGGTCTTACAGAGAATTCTCCTTGGGGTTACAAAACGGAGAAACCTATGAAAGTGGGAAATATACAAAGGGGTAAAAATGGAGAAAGATTATATACACATGATAAATATATACAGATTATTATTTGAATGATCCTATGGAAAATAATGAGACAATAACACGCTATTTATACGTATTTATATGTATATAGGAAATGAAAACATTAAGAAACGAATGTTTCTTTTACATGCGAATATTTATATATAATTCTACTCTCCTCAAAGCTTATGTCCATAGTTTACCTGGATACCATTTCTAAGATTCCACCCTTCAGTGCAGCATATATAAGCAGCCTCGTTCAATACTATAATAGAGCTCTAAGAAGCGATCTCGTAGATTAAATTATCGAGACCACTGGGAGAGTTTACCACTGATGAGCCAAGCTCTCCCAATATTTTTTCATCGCAGTAAGGACAATAGAAGTTTGTTTTGTGTGTAAAAGAAACTTTCGTGCCTCAAAGTTTTCACTTCCTTTATAAAAACTATCTTTACATAATAATCTTAACATATGTTGAATAGGAGAAATCCTCAAAAGCTTTTAGTTCTAAGATGATTATTTTAAAGAAAGAAGCTTCT